TGTGTAAAGTAAGTTATCTTCTCTACCCTGAAATGATCCTCATTCAATGTGGGGTCAGTCCCAGCTCTCATGCTGCAGCTTGGTGAACAAGCTCATTTTCATGGTTTCACGAATTTTAGTCTTATCCACACCAATCCTCTGTCCAGCCAGGTGGAAGGCCCTAATCTCAGAGCCTAGTCCCAGAGACCACCTCCCTCTGATTGTTTTACTCAGGCTGCAGGAACGTTTCAAGGGGACTTGTCTGGCTGTCTGAAGTGTGATGCACAATAGCTTGTCCTTTTAGGCACTGCTGACAGTCATCTGGCACACTGTAGCATAATATTTTTGAATTAAACCTTTTGACCACTTGGAGAATAAAGGGTAGAAACTCTGCCAAGGTGGCCCATAACAAGCCCTTTGTGTGCACTTGCAGAAAGAAGAAAAGAGGAAAAAAGAGAGGGGAAAATGAAGTCAAAGAAAAAAAAAAAACAAGAAAAAAAAGAAAGGCTATTGTTTGCAATAAAGAAGCAATGGTATCAACTTCATGTTGTTTCCTATCTCATACTTGACCTTGAAGGCCCAAACATTGTAAGCAATCATTAAAAAAAAAAATTCCCTAGAAGGGTGCATTTAGATGGACATGGTGATTTCTTCGTTTCCAAGAACAGGAATTTTCCAGAAAAAAAATAAAACAACTTAAGATTAACCAGGAGAACAAAGAGAACATTGTGTAATAGAATATCTTACACTTGTACTTTGTACTTATGGTTTAGAAGTTAGATTCTATTACAACAAGATGTACGAGTGCTTTCCATGGGCAAGGTGTTTTGCAGGGCACTGAAAACAGATAAGCTGGATGTAATTTCAGCTCCTGTTATTTCAAACATGACAGTTTGTTTCCCTGTGCAACACCAAGACAATATGATAAATTACAGCCCTCCTGCTGAATTTTACTTGTTTCTCTCATGCTAATAGTGACAAAACTCATTGGACTGTCTCCTTAGCATTGCAAGAACTTTCAAGTATTTAGGAAGCCCAGTTCTTTCTCTTAAGAAAACTACGGGGGTGGGGTGGGGTGGTGGTGGTGTGTGCTGTGGTGCAGTGGGTTAATGCCCTGGCCTGATGCACCGGTATCCCATATGGGCGCCGGTTGCTCCTCTTCCGATCCAGCTCTCTGCTATGGCCTGGGAAAGCAGTAGAAGATGGCCCAAGCACTTGGGCCTCTGCACCAACATAGGAGACACAGAGGAAGCTCCTGGCTCCTGGCTTCAGATCAGCGCAGCTCTGGCTGTTGCGGTCATCTGGGGAGTGAACCAGCGGATGGAAGATCTCTCTCTCTGTGTCTCTACCTCTCTCTCTGTAACTCTGTCTTTCAAATAAATAAAATAAATCTTTAAAAAAAAAAAGAAAAGAAAACTACAGGGGCCAGCATTGTAGCAAAGCCCAAGTACTTGGGCCATCCTCCGCTGTTCCCAGCCACCACCTGTAATGCAGATATCCCATAGAGGGGCCAGTTCATGCCCAGCTGCTCTACTTCCAATCCAGCTCCCTGCTAATGGCCTGGGAAAAGCAGCAGAGGATGGTCCAAGTACTTGGGCCCCTGCATGCATGAGGGAGACCCAGATGAAGCTCCTGGCTTCTGCATGGCCCAACCCTGGTGGTTATGGCCATCTGAGGAGTGAACCAGTGAACCAGCAAATGGAAGCTTGCTCTCTCTCTCTCTCTCTCTCTCTCTTTCTCTCTCTGTATATCCCTCTCTCACTGTAACTGTGACTTCTAAATAAATAAATACATAAATAAATCTTTCAAAAAAATTCGAATCCACTGGGGAATCACATGAAACATGACATGTACATTTCTTGTCTATTCTGTTTGGACCCCAATCATTTGGAATTGTTGGACATCTGGATACAGGCTGAAGTTCAACTTTATTTCTCCTTTGATCAAACAGCTTACTCAATAAAAGCAAACAGTACCTCAGAGAAAGAATTAACATTTTTCAGGGAAAAATCTGAAAACTTATTTTTTCATGCAATATTTTTTTAAGTTTGTGCTGTCCTTTTTATAAAGGCAGGTTGTGGAAGCTGGCACTATGGCATAGTGTGTGAGGCCGCCACCTGCAAAGCTGGCATCCCATATGGGTGCTGGTTCAAGTCCTGGCTGTTCCACTTCTGACCCAACTCTCTACTGTGGCCTGGGAAAGCAGCGGAGGATGGCCCAAGTTCTTGGGCCCCTGCACCCACCTGGGAGACCTGGAAGAAGCTCCAGGCTTGCAGCTATCTGGGGAGTGAACCAGTGAAAGGAAGACCTCTCTCACTCTCTGCCTCTACCTCTCTGTAAAATGTGACTTCAAATAAATAAATAAATTAATAATTCTTTAAAAATAAAAAAAGCAGATTGTGATGGATCTTAAGAGCACTTTATAAAGCACTTAGTGTGCTGCTGTTTATTTTCTAAAGAATGAGCTTTTCTTTTAAAACAATGCTTTACTTGATACACAGCAGACTCATAGAATGGCAGATGTCCTAAACAGCACTCTGGCCTCAGAATTAGCCCTTAAGGCATTCAGATATGGCTGAAGAGTCCATGAGAGTATTTTAGGCATGGGAAGCCAAGACACTCAGGCAAAAAAAAAAAAAAAAGAAAAGAAAAAAAACCTATATGAAAGATCTCTGTGAGTGAGATCCCAGTGGAAAGAACAGGTCATCAAAGAAGGAGGTACTTTTCTCTGAAGGAAGGAGAGAATTTCCACTTTGACTATGACCTTGTCTAAATAAGATCAGAGTTGGTGAACTCAAAAGGCTTCCATAGCCTTGGAAACTCATGACAAGAGCCTAGGGTGATTACTGATGCCAAAAACAAGAGTTTCAATTGTTAAGTCAACAACAGGAGTCACTGTGCACTTACTCCTCATGTAGGCTCTCTGTCCTCAATGTGCTGTACATTGTGATTTAATGCTATAACTAGTACTCTGCGGGGGGGTGGGGGCGCTCCAATCGGAGAGGAAACAAAGTTGCTAAGCCTTCCCTCAAGAAGGCCGCTGAGCCTTTGCTTGAGTTTGCCACACTTCTGCATCCCAGTGACTAGGCGTTTCCAACAACCCAAGTTGGCCCCCGGGGGAGGTACCTAGCCTGACAGGAGACTTCCGTATTTGTGAACAGTATGTGTCCTCGGCTGTGATAGGCCCTGAGGGCGTGCCCGGCTTGTGTCCTGCCTGATCTTTCAGCTGGTTGGCTTGGTTCCCTTGTGCCCTGGACAGCCCCCTTTCTGTGTCTATAAAAGCTCTTCCCCTCCCAATAAAGTCGAGAACCCGGCTGCGCCCTGGGCGTTGACTGATCTCCCGACTCTGGTGTGGTTCCTCTGCCACCGACACTCCTCATCCCGCTCTGCCCCTGAGCTCCCCAGGCTGGCCCTGAGGAGCTCTATCGGACCTGCTGCCCCGTGACGAGCAGCAGTACTCAAACAGTATTTTACACTTTGTGTTTCTGTGTGGGTACAAACTGTTGAAAGCTTTAGTATTTTAAATTTATTTAAAATTTAGTATATACTAAATTGATCTTCTGTATATAAAGATAATTGAAAATGAATCTTGATGTGAATGGAAGGGGAGAGGGAGCGGGAGATGGGAGGGTTGCAGGTGGGAGGGAAGTTATGGGCGGGGGGGAAGCCATTGTAATCCATAAGCTGTACTTCGGAAATTTATATTCATTAAATAAAAGTTAAAAAAAAACCCGATGCTTTATATATAACTAAGATACACAGTCTGGCTTATTTAGCTTTTGGGGTCTTATTGTGAACACAAATGACAAGAACATTAAATTCATATGCATTCTGCTTTAGGTACTTAAGAGACACCTAGGTGACCGTGGTTGATGGACAAGTGACAATGAGAGGACACTAAATTCTGAGCAGAAATGGGAACAGCCTCTGCTATATAAATAGGCCCTGGGAGAGTGATCACATTGTAGGTCTGCTCTTGTGCCAAGGACAGCATACACACGGCTTTCCTTTTTTTGAAGATTTATTTATTTGAAAAGCAGAGTTACAGAGAGATACTCCATCTGCTGATTCACTCCCCAAATGGCCACAACGGCCAGGGCTGGGCTAGGCTGAAGCCAGGAGTTAGGACTTTCTTCTGGGTCTCCCACATGGGAGCAGAGGTCCAAGTATTAGAGCCAGCCTCTCTTGCTTTCCTAGGTGCATTAGCAGTGAGATGGATTAGAAGTGGAGCAGCCAGGGCCGGCGCTGTGGTGTAGTGGGTAAAGCCATTGCCTGCAGTGCTGGCATCCCGTATGGGTGCTGATTTAAGACCCGGCTGCTCCATTTCCGATCCAGCTCTCTGCTATGGCCTGGGAAAGTAGTAGAAGATGGCCCAAGTCCTTGGCCCCTGTACCCACGTGGAAGACCCAGAAGAAGCTCCTGGTTCCTGGCTTCGGATCAGCGCAGCTCTGGCTGTTGCAGCCAATTGGGGAGTGAACCAGCGGATGGAAGACCTCTCTTTCTCTCTCTCTGCCTCTCCTTCTCTTTCAGTCTGTGTAACTCTGACTCTCAAGTGAAATAAATAAATCTTAAAAAAAAAAAAAAAAAAAAAGAAGTGGAGCAGCTTGGACTTGTACCTGCACCCATTTAGGATACCTGCCTTGCAGATGGTGGCTTTACCTGCTTTGCCTCAGTGCTGGCCCCAGAACTTTCCTTTATGAGAAACTATTTTGTGGGGGTAAATTAATATTCTCCTATGTGTGTTTCAAATGTGGGCTTGGAGGTATTAGCTCCAGAGCCTTCGGAAGTGCTGAGATGAATAATTAATTTTGCAAATTACAAACATGTTTTACTTGGCTTTTTGAAGCTGGAGCTCTGTGACCAACAGCACCCTTCCTAATTTGGAAATATTTTGTTTCTGGTTTTTACTTTGACATGTACCCAGCTATCTACTTTTGTTGCTATTTCTAGCATCCCAAGGGAGCTGCTTCCATGGTTGTCATAGTGCAGGCAAACACACAAGAAAATCAAGAACTCAGTGCTTCATAAAGCATTTATTTTTATTTGAAAACATTATACAGGCATTACATTGCCACAGCCAGTCCATGGGGGAGCATGCAAAATATCAAAAATGGACAGTTTGTTCAACTTATCGGTGTCAATTTCGTTTTTGGTTCGTATTTTCCATTTGCAGTGTCAGTATTAGTGTGCTTTGTTATGTGGCTTAACAATAGAATCCTACCCATGGGGTAAAATCTGCACTGGTAGCTAGCTGGGGACTACTAAATGGTTAAAAGGCAAAAACAAACCCAAAACAAACAATACTACACGCCTGTCAAAAGGTTAATAGCACAAGTAAGCATTATCTAAACTAAACATTGAAACACATTCATGAGACACAGTGCTGCAGATCTTTCCATTGCTTGGTCTACCTGGCTGTGTATTTCAGAGTTGGGAGCTGTGGGAAGGTATGACCAAGGCAAGTTCTGTCCCCAGTGCCAGTTTCATTGAGGAAGTAAGAACTGCCACTGATTTGTAGCAGGGTTTAGGAGAGCTGTGGTTTGCTCTGATCCAGACAAATTCTCTACAAACTGCTAAGTCTTATTGGTTGAGGAGAGATAGTGGTGGTAGATTGAAAAGCTGAAGTCTTTGCTGGTGTCTACTGAGGTTATGAAATCTCAGAAACTAAAACAACTAGAGTTAATGATGTCCTACTCCCATTTCCCATCCTATTCCCAAGGGATCAATGTTTTTACACAGAGAAAGAATTTGTTCTTAGTTATTATTATTTTTTCCCCTGGAGGGTCAGTCTAGAATTTCTGGGCTTGGACAAGTCAATGTTGTCAGACTTTCGATATGGAAACACACCAACACAGTGAGGCAACCTAGTGACATGAAAATCTGAATACAAGAACACTGGATGACAGGGCTATACAGTGAATTCCTCTTAACATTCATGTTTGGTTTCCATACAATGGAGTCAATTAAAATATTCTATGAAATAATTCAGATGTCAACCTTGGACATCTGTTGATTGCAAACCTTTTGGGAATTTAAATTTTTTCTTAAAAAAATTACCAGTCCAGCGAGTGGATTTAGAATTAATGTCATCCACTTGATTCTCATAAGACTTTTTACTAACTGCCTACAAATTCGTGTCATAAAAATGAATCAAAAAGACAAAAACATTTGGCTTAAAATAAATACTAAAAACGCAATAAGTCAAGCAAATTATGCAAACCAAAAGAATGTAAACACAAAAATAAAACCACAGTCTTTAAAGGTCTTCAGATTTGAATGGACAAAATATTCAGAGAAAGGTATTTAATTGGTTTAAAAGGTAGCAGAGAGCAGATGTTGGCTGACTTGTTTTGATTTGATCCAGCTTTGACATTAATCTTTTTTTTCCCCCTCACAGAAAAGGAAACATGTTTCGAAGAGGGCTGGATTGACAGGGCCATGAAATCTACAAATCATAGAAGATTTTTCTTCCCCATTTTCAAAGGCGAGACTACCTACTCTATATGGAAGGCAGGCAAAAGGCCACACGGGTGCTGATGGACAGCGGGGGTTGTATGTTCCCATCATGCGCAGGCATCACCCAAGGTCTGCCCTGCAGTCTGTCCTACCTCACAGAGATCTCATTGGTGCTTTGCTTGCTGGATTAAGAATATTGATTTTACTCATCCAAACCCTCATATTTATCTATTTTTCCTTTATAAACACTGCAACTCCAACAAGGATCTTTTTGAATGATATTGAAGTTAACCAAAGTTAAAAAGTATTTCCCATACTGACACACAGAATCTGCTCTAAACCTTAGAGGTCTGGGGTGTTTCTTAATTTCCTGTGTTTGAAGAAAAGGCTTCTTCAAGGGCAATGGATTTTCCCAGCGACACTTCACTCAAAGTCTTACAGGATTCTGCAATATCTTTGAATCTATCCTTAAGAATGTGTGTCAATAAATTCTGCTATTGAATGGATGCCAAATAAGACAAAAATGCCAGACTCAGACTTTTTCATCGGTGACATCTTTACAAAGTGGCCAGAGCAAGTGAGCATATTTCAGAGACTGCTCCACATCAGCACCTTGACTTTGCTAGGAGGCGCAGAACCAATGATACTTCATGATGAGGGGAATTTCTGTGCTGGTGTATTTTAAAAATGGTGTCACTCAATTAACAAGTTAGGGGATCCTGCCTTTTTCCAATGCCTTGGTTAATTTCCATATTATCATCAAGGACATCTAAGGAAGAAAAAAGTAAAACCAAAAAGTAGTCTTGGAAGAGAGGATATAGAGAGGGGCAGAAAGACTTAAAAGATATATATCCCTAAGCACAAATTGTATTATTTCTGAGGTTTCCCATAAGCCACAGAAATGGAACAGTCCTTATCTTGTTATTATGGGGACTTTATTAGCGGAATCACGTGGCACAACAGAAAGGCAATGGCCTGGAGTCACCAGAGATTGAAATATAAAAAGGCTAAAATGTTTGTGTTAAATCTATTCCTAGAATAGAGAATTATATGGTCAGTTGCCCCTCCCCACAAGGGTCACAGCACAAAATATTTAGCGAGCAGGCAATCCAACAGGTAGCAGAGGAAACCATTAGCCACCAGGTCCCTAGGATAAGGAAACTTCTCAGGGGGTGGAGCTCCTGTGGCATGCATCACTCATACAGTCTGTGCAAAAAAAAAATAAAGTGTGATTCTTAAAAAGTGACTTGCCATAGAAAAGTGGGATTGATGCTGACTACACGTAGGTCTGGCAATAAGTCTCATCAGGAGGACGAAATAGCCTCCTGAAAGTCTGTGTGATATCAGTAACAATAATAATACAAATAATAATAATAACAACGGTAGTTGCTTTTATTCAAAAATTTTCACAGTAATTAATGCAGGGGGAGTTGTGAACAGGATACACACTACCTAGGCATCTCTCCAAATCAGGCGGAGTGGAGCCTATGTCTCCTGTGGTGTTTGGCTTGTTCCCTTTACAAGCTCTCAGAGGATTGGCTACCTTGCAGTCCACCTGTGTAAAGTGCACCTCGTAAATACCTTTCTCTGTGTACAAGACGAGATGATGGGCAGACACATGGCCACTGAGTTGTCCTCAGTGGGCAGGGTGGGCCTCATCCTAGGCCACACGGACATGGGGCTCCTCTTCGGTTTCCTGGCCCAGGCTGGTGTAGGTGACGGAAGGCTCCACCTGAGCTGTGGTTGGTAAGTCCACAACAGGTCCAGAAGGATTGCGAAACTGCTTATACACTCGGGGGTCCTGGGCTATGTACGTGGAGGTGGAGGAGTAGAGCACCAGCCCGATGAGGATGGTGAAGAAGGACAGGAGATAAAGTCCTGAAAACTAAAAACACAACAGCAAAGTCATTTAGCAGCCAGAACAGAACCACGAACACATTAATGAGGCATGGAGAGGCAGGAGCAGAGCTGTTTCCTGTCAGAACAGGCAGCTTGAAGAGTTGGCCAATACTCTTGATGGAGAGTGAATTTTCTCTTCCTAAACTGGGTTGGTCTTATCGATTTCTCCTTATCTTTTTTCTAGACCCTGTGGCTAACACAGAGGAACGTTTAGCTAATTGTCTCTAAAGTGCCAAACTGAGTACCTGGTATGTTGAAAGATGTAGTTAAACACAAATTAAAACACATCAAGTTAAAAGCAAAAAAGCCTCCAATATCACTCAATAAAGAGCTGGTTGTTTGTGGCTTCATTAAACTCGGGAGAAATGCAGATATCCCATTTAAGGTTGTAACGTAGCCATAAACAAGGACCATCTCATTGACAGCTGCATCCAGGCCCTCCCGTTATTTGTCTCCCCAGCAGGAACAGTTATTGGCTTTGTTAATTATTTTTGCAAATTAGATTAGCCTTGGACCAAAAGAAACCATACAACCGTCTATTCCTGTCCCAACTCATCTAAAAACACAATCAAACAGAGCTATATATACAGCATTCTGCTTGCTAAACTGCTTGCTGCCCAGTTCATAGAGGTGGTGGTGGGGTATTGGTTTATGAAAGTTTGAAGAATTTATGTATGCTACTGAAAAAGCACACATTTTATAGCTTTTGGTATCCACTTGGGTGGATACACTGGAAGTAAGTAATTGAGAAATTACTGGGGGAGAGTGAGGTAACAATATGAGTAGTCATTTCTACTATTTCATTCATTCATTCATTCATTCTCTTTATTCAATGCATGCCTTCTCTATATAAAATACTGAACTATGTCTTGAAGAAAGAGAGACAAAACATATGATCAGTCCCTAAATATCCTCCTTAAGACCTTAATAATCTTCAAGCACAGAGATACAGAAAGACCAAAACAACACAATGCACTTATGGCATACAAATCTCATTTTAGTCAACAGCTATTATCCTAGCCTTGAGCATGTCCTGCATCCATGGAAAAGGGGGATTAACTTTATCATTATACTTTATTTTTAAGTTTATATTCTGAAAGAACTATAAACTAATTTTAAAAAAGCAAAAATTCATTGGAAGCAGGAAGAAAGGAGAACAGGAAAATTACCCAGAAATTCTACTATAAAAGAATAGGCTGGTTACAAAGATTAAATGAAACATGTATAACACTTATAGGGCCTACCATGCAGCAAGCATTCAATTCATGTTAGCCTCTTGTTATTATTGTTTTTGTTTGCTATTATCATAGTGCATATAATTGTGATACTGTGATACAGCTTCAGCCATAGAACCCTGTGCCATCTCCTCAGACATCTACTAGGTATTATTTGCTAGTGGTTTTAATTTTGAATGAGTGCATGCATTTAATTACAGGAAAGTCTCAGAAACATAATTAAAGAAAAGACTGTACCAGTGGTGCATTTCAAATTTTAAATCTTTAAACTGGACAATACAATGCCATTTCTCATATATCAAATGCTAAAGAAAAACCTGATGAAAAGGAAGTCATAGCGTAGGTCCATAATCATTGACTCCAAAAGTCGTCTTCAAACCTGGGGTCAGTCAGAAAAGGGTGACAGGACAATGAACTGGGATGGACAATGGAGGAGGCAAGAATCTGGTGTAAGACTGAGGGCTGCTTCTCAGTGGGCTGATGTAGCAGGTTTCACAAACCTGATGTGGGTAGGACTTTATAGTTGCAATAAGGTACAGGTAAGGACAGGCAAGGCCGTCATACAGGTATCCAGGTAGAATTTAAATTCCTCTCGATTTCCAATTTTAGACCCTGTATCTTAACTTATCAATGTGACAAAAATGTAAGTATGGATTTTGTAAAGCTAATGCCTTTGCCATTGTAGGAAATAACACAGAAATGTAACGCTTCAAGGGATTCTATTTTTTGGGGATGTGGAGCCATCAGGTTCAGTGGCAAATCACTTCCGCATGTTTTCTTAGGACATAGCAATAGAGTGGCAACACTTACTTGATTTCAAATGCATTTCTATTTAGTTCATACAGGATCTCCTCTAAAATTGTTCACAAGATAGCATGGAAGTTTATATGACCAGGGCATCTGGGAAGCCTCCCAAGGGCTTTTATTAATAGATGGTAGAGAACGTTTTCATTAAATACACAAGCCTAAAATGGGAGCAGTCAGGGAAGCAGTATGATTAATCATGATAAATACTGAATGTTTAAGTGGTAAAAAGAAGGTCTGATTTTTTTTTTTTTGTGAAGTAATAAAAGGTTTCATTTCTTTCCTCTTTTTAGCTTAATACAAAAGAAGAAAATTAATCAGGGGTACAGATAGTGTGACTTCAGTGCTGGATGCTACACTCGTTCTGTAGAGCATTCATCTCAAAAGCCAATCAATCACACAACTTGTACAGACCAGGCTGGTTAACATAACTGCAAAGAATAGTTTCTTTCTAGTTTTCAAAGCAGAGAATTGGCACTTCTCTGGAACTGTCGATAAAGACCGAAAGTTCTGTGACAGTTACAGGTAAGGCAAATTTTAGCCAGGGGCTTGTTATCTTCATTAAGGAACAGGGGCTCCCGTCTCAAGTGGACTTTGTGATCACCCCTGTAGCCAAATGCAGCCCATGAGAATGGACTGCCTGTTCCACGCTGCACATTCACTTTGGCCTTCCTTCTGCCATATCTATACCTGGAGAAATGGAAAATGAACGTTCCTTGCATTAACACTACCACACTGCCGACTCTGCTGTGCTTTCATTCTGATGAGTCTCTTTGCAAACAAGGGTCAGACAGCACTCACTGTACATAACGAAAATCCCTGTGTGTTGCTCAAAGCAATGAGACCAAGACATAAGTCATCGTACGCAATGGGGTGGCTTGGAAGATTGATAACAAGCTTGTACAAAACTCTTTAACTTCCAGCTAGCGGTGAAACCTAATTCTTAGCCAGTTGGCATATCAGCATGATTGTTATTTAGCTAATGTGGCATTCAGCACATCAGATAAGGACAGACCTAATTTTCATTTTATTTTTGGCATTAAATATCTAAGCAGAATTTTGATAAGCTAATGATTTCAATAGACCTAATCCTATATAAGTAGAAAAAAAAGTATGGCCTCAAAATTATTTTGAAGCATATTTAGAAACATATCCACTGAAATCTGTAAGGAAGAAGGTGATATTTCAACTTCCGTTTTCCAAAGAGGGTAGGGTCAGCAGAGCAGAGTGTGAGCAACACTCACGGAGGTGTCAAGGGACCGTGAAGGCACCCTGGTTTAAGCTCAACTTTCACTGAACGTCAGAATCGTCCGTAACCCTGTGGTGGGCTTGGCTTTTCTTTCTGTCCCAGAAAGCTGCTATGGTTGGATGTGGTTTAGCTCCCAAAGGTTCGTGAGTTGGGGCCTGGTCTTCAGTGTGGCTGTGTTGAAGTGGTGGACCTTTAAGAGGTGGGGCCTAGTGGGAAGCAGTTAGGTCATTGTGGGCCCTGCCTTCAGAAGGGGTTAAAGTAGTTCTCCTGGGACCCTGGGCTAGTCCCTGCAAGAGTGAGTTATAAAAAGTCTGACTCCTCATTCTTGCTTGGTCTTCCTGTCCCACCATAGTGATGCCATCAGCCAAGCAGAAACTGGCACCATGCTCTTCGTCTTCCATGTCTGTGAGCTTTATAAAGCACTCAACATCAAGCACTTCATTAGAGCAATGAAGAATGAACCAATACAGAAGTTCACCATAAAAGAGCCCATTTGTGGCACAGGCCTCTGTATAATGCTTCTGGCGGACTTTGGACATTTTTGCTAAGTGACTGCTCTTGTTTATTAGTGAGGAAAACTAATAGTTATTCCATTGGTAATGAAAACTTAAAGGATTCTCTTAGTTCCTAAAGAGAGATGTATGACAGTTTCCATACCCCTCTATCCCCCTAAAAAAAGCCAATGGAAAGAAAGAAACTGTGACTCCTGAGAGGCCGAGGAAGGAATGGAGATGTTTTCTTGGAAAAGGGGGTTTCAGGGGAATGAGCCTTAGGGGAAAGTTCTGGGAGGTATCTGAGGGAAAAGGAGAGGTCTGGCTCTAACTTGGAGAGTCAAAGAAGCTTAAAGAAAACACAGTGGGAAAGAGGAACGTCAGGGAAACTGGAAAGAAAAAGAACATACAGATAAAGAAAACTTCTCAGTCACTGGGAAGAAAGGGGACTGCAGGACCAGACCTTAAAATAATAATTCTTGTCTAAACTGCACCGGTGTGTATCCTTTCCGGCTTCTGTTTCTCTCTTTCTGCACGAATACACGTATTTGTGGACCCCTCCGACTGACCTGATGTGATCTGCCTTCTGAACCCGCTTTCCTATAATGAACGCTTGTTTTTCTTGAGAGGTGAGTGGCCTGAAAGAACACTGCCCTGGGTAGCTTCTAGGTGCCACAGATGAGTAACGGGCAAAGCTTTCAAGGCCTCATGTGTTTCCAAGGCAATCTATGATGAGTAGAGGAAGAAAACGCCAAATACTTCACACCATAGCTCAGGATGGTCTTACTGTTAAACTTTAAAGATATGTTGCCTTTTGGCATGCCACTGGATATGGGTCTGCCATTGCAAGAGGCATACAATTTGGAAACATGATAACGAAAAGAGTTGAAACTGGTTTTTGAATGCTAAATTGAGGCTGCACAAAAACAAAGTCAAGAATATTTCTAAATGTTCTTAGATGAAGCTTTTGACATTACACAAACATGAAGGACAAGTGGCCACAATGATTTCCTTTCTAATTGAGATTCAGCTTATTCTTTTGAAAAGATACTGATGCAGTTAAACCTTCCCATATTAAAAGTGTGTTATTGGGGCTGGAGCTGTGGCGTAGTGAGTGAAGCCATTGCCAGCAGTGCCAGCATCCCATATAGGTGCCGGTTCTAGTCTCAGCTGCTCCACTTCCAATCCAGCTCTCTGCTATGGCCTG